GTCTACTTGCGGACGGAGAAAAAATATTTACCTAACTTTTTGTAAATAATTTCTGGGAATCAGCTAATCAGGATATAATTTTAACCGATTACATTGTAATTGACACGTATCACCTGGATGTGACAAAAAACAATCGTACGTGTCCTCGCCCTCACCCTGACCAGCACACTGCTGTCACTCCTTGCCAGGCGTTGTGGCAACGCTGGTGGGGCCCCTCGTAAACCACAATTCGAATCATGCAATGGCGGACGGTGCACGCAAGGTCAAATTCAATTACAGGAGAAAGACAGCTTTGTTGAGTAGAACATCTCTCTTTAGAGAGCTGTAGTTCCTACTTTAAAACCTCTTTCCATTACAAATTATGTATCCATTTCAGAAATGAATTCATAATTTAGTCGAGACTTCTTTAAAATCAAATTCAATGAAATATGGAATTTTACGATATATCCACCGCATATCTGACCTCTCCAATGCCAAAAAGTAATAAATTCACTCGCAAAAGAAGTTATCCAATCTCTAAAATATTTATTTAGTTTATTTGTTGTTTCTGTTAGTGTAAAAACGTTTTTAATAAAAATTCTTTTGAGAGGAGGAGGAGTTAGAATCTTAAATGGAAATCCCCCTATTTACACCAATACAATACACCAAATTTGGCAGCTTATTGCTTAAATTAATGTCATTTCGTTATTTACAAGATTTGTTCGTTTCTGAAGTTATTCCTCATCGCTCAGAATTAAGAAAGCTCCTCTAAAGGCTACGGATTTCCAAGAATCCGTATTCCACAGTCTGTTTTCGGATGACTCCCCTCCAGTTATTTGAGGACATCTATTTTTCTTTCTACGCGGAGGGACGACTACATTTAGCATCTGGCTCTTTGCTGTAACACTACGTTATGCCATCCTTGGGCGGAAGTCAACACTTGCTGTTTATTTGGGGGACGAGAACGAATGTGGAAGTAATGTTAATTCGAACGAGAGGTTTGGAACTGGAAAGAAAATGTTAATATTGCTTGAAAAATAGGGAGAAGTGGTTATATATATATATATATATATATATATATATATATTACCAATAATAATATATCAGTATTGGGTATTGGATTTTTTACCGAAAACGCATTAAAAAATAATTCTAATTTAGAACATGTTTATAGCAAATAAGTAGTATATTTAGTTGCTTATAAAAATCAAGTAGTTCAGCCAACCAATAACTTAAAAATGAAGGCATGAACATATTAGATAAATGTGCTGATGTAAACATAAAAGTAATACGAGCGAGAGCAATATGGACATGAAGTGATCGCAGTCGGCTATCTTTTTTCTTTCGTTCCTATACAATCCTTTCGACTTACAAGAGAATCCGTGTTTACGTTTCTCTGCCCTTCGCTTTTGCTGAGTAAGGGGGAGTCAATGGCACTTGACTATAGTGTCGTGTTAGTAATTCAGGGAAATCCTCATAAGCGGCCGTCTTCATTACGTTTCAACGCTGAAAAATTTCCCTAGAAAATGAAATGTATCTCTAAATCCAAAGGATATGTTACATTATTATCAAATAATTGCATTTTATTATAATTACTACTTTTCTTAAATCTGATGAATACACTCGATGACTGCGGAATAACGACTTGGAATGAAGCAGAAATTAAATTAAAAGTTTCTAATTAAATTTAATTCTTCATTAGAACTTCGTAATAGATCATCGGCGATAGATATAATAATGCTATAAAGTAATTCATTGTTCACAAATTTTACAAAATGATTTCTAAGTGTATAGCCCATGACACTAGATCAGGTACATCGAATTACGTAATATTTTGTCCCTTTGCCTCATTTTTTTTTCACATCTCAAGAAATTTGTATTAATCAACAAGATTGTAATAAATATCGTAATTCTGCATGATTAATGAATTTGTAACACGCATCATTCATGTTAATCCAATCTTTTATTTTCGAAAGATGATTAGTGGATTTTTTTTCATTTTTAATATAATAACTAAAACAATTATTTAATTAATTGTTTCAAAAGACATGAACGTTTCCTAATTAAAAAACTTCTGGCAGAGAAAAGAATTATTACGGATCTTTAAACTATTGTGTATTCTTCTTATCGATATATAGAAAGAATTGCAACAGAGATAGGTGAAATCCTTAAAGGCACTCGCATGAATGCATCAACAATTCACAAAAAAATACCTTCCCTTTCAACAGGGGGAGGTATTCCCACAACTGTGCCAAAGCTAATGAGGAGTGAGGGAAAGGAATTAAAACATTAAGTCTTACATATTAAACTATAAATTAATATTGCAATTAAAAAATATATTTGTTTTTAAAACCTGAAAAAATAAAAAAAAAGTTTTAGAATATTCATGAAATTTCACCCAACGAAGGTTAATTTTATATAAAGCATGAAGAGGGGTGGGGAATGATTTCGAAATGAACCGTTCATCCCAGGGAGGGAGTGTTTGCAAGTGATGCAAAGGGGGAGGACTTTTAAAACAAGTAACATTTTTGCAAACGTGTTACTTGTGTTACTAACCCATCGTAAAAAAAATCGACATGGTTGAAAGAACATATGAATGTCGCGTGCCGCACCACTTCCGCACTTTAGGTGTGTGGCGTGCCTGCCGCCGCGCCGGGCAGGCCAGCCCCCTTTACGTGCATGCGCCGATGGTGGCAAAGGGAGCGTCCGCCATCGCCCCTTCTGGAAGCATCGACGCCGCGCAGGCGCGCCGCCAGCGCTGGCGACGGCGACGGCCACCACCCACTGGCTATGGCGTCGGTACCGGAGTAAACCCGGAGAGATAGGCGCTCTTTGTATGTTGATGCTATGGGAGCGGCGGAGTAGGTAATCAACGTGGAGGGGCGGAATTGTTTGACGAGACCGATACACGAAGGAACATTCGAGATCACGGAAGAAACAAGAATTTAATTCGCCAAATAACACGTTTTTTTCTACGCTCGTATAAAAATGCTTCTTGTGCGAGTCATTATTTGTTTAATCTCTAATGTTCTTCATTTTTATTGTAACGATGCATAATTTTCGTTCCTCTTAGGTGCGAAAATGTCTCGTTTTAGGCGGTGACGTGAAAACACCGTGAAAAAGACTTTTTTCACCGTGTGCGTTTTTTTACATCTTGTTTTTGAGACGTCTAAACAAAATACAAATTCCACGATCGCTAGCGATAAAATCCTTAATTTTTAATGCGATAATAGAAAAAATGTTTTTCTAAAAAAAAAATTAAAACTCGATTTAATTTATTAACAATATTTTGTTATTTGCTTATTTGTATATTACATGAAATAATTTATAATCTGCACATGATCCTATTTAATAAAAATCAAACAAACATTGCCCTTCTGTAGACCAATCCTGCGTTTGCTTCTGTCAGTGAGGTCTCGAGTATCGTTTTTAACTGGTACACACATACATTGTTCTAAGAATCGGAACGAGTAAAGATGGAGTATGTGATGAATATGATGAAGGCTGTGATGACAATGACAGTGGTAGGGAAGTGATGGGGACGACAAGGAAGGGGAGGAGGGAGCTAGGGCTGGGAGGCTGTGGCAGAAGTTTCAGTTGGTGATGGTACCGACAATAATAGCGCGGGTGGTGAATTACGATCGCAGCAGAGCGGCTGTTGAAACGCGCGGGGGCCTGGGGGAATAGGTGATGTGAGAGCGGAGCTGAAAGGAGAGATGTGGAAATGGAAGCGGCGGTGGGTGAGGCGTACCGAAGTGATAAGTGAAACCGATGTGGGGGGAAAATGTGACCGTGCGGGGCGGAAGCAGAAGATGAAGTCGTAGGCTTCCGCGGCCACAGTCATGTGCGTGATCTGGGCTGTTCGGGTGACGCCGCGTCGAAGGCTGTGTTGCCGACGTTTCGACCATCTTGTCGTGGTCTTCCTTACGGCTGGTATGCCCGTGGTCTTCCCCAGGGCTGGTATGTTGGTATGAGGAAGACCACGACAAAATGGTCGAAACGTCGGCAACACAGCCTTCGACGCGGCGTCCCTCGGACAGACAAAATCACGCACGGAAGCAGGAGATACCAGCGTTGAGGCAGGACGGGGTGACGAGGAGTCGGAGTGTAGAGATACAGAACCCAGCGAAGGGCGGGTGCTCGCGACCTTGACAAGGGGTTTCAAGATATTATCGAGCTTGAATTGGGAGCGGGGATGCTGGGGCATGCGGGGAAGGTGGGTGACCTCTGTAAAGTATGCTGGTGATATGGGTGTAGTAGCATAGGAGATCGGAATGAGTGAGCTGAGAGAAACGCTGGCCATGGAGGGGGAGTGACAAAGGAACGGTGTTGATGGTAGTGGTTAGGGGAGGAAAATGAGGAGGCATAGAGGTAGCAAGACAACGGGCAGCGATGATGAGGGCATTGATAAAGGATGAGAGAGAAAGGGAGAGAGAAAAAGAGAGAGAAAGAGAGAGAGAGGAAGAAATAGAGCGGGAAAGAGAGCGAGCGAGAGAGAGAGAAAGAGAGATGAAATGGGCAGTGGCGATGGTGGAAGTGACGACGGGCAGAAGAAACTCGCTATGAGGGATAACAAAGATAATGGTAAAATAGCAGAGTCAAGGGGAGAACTTGGTATTGAAATAATGAAGGCGATGGTCGTGGAAATGGTAGGGGGTGTTAGATGTGGAGATGGTGTTGTATTTGTAATTTGGTAGAGGAACGGTGATTACGAGTAGATTGTGGAACGGCAATGATTGTATTCCCAGATACGGAAGAGTGACTGCTATTAATGGGAAGACGGTAATGGATCGGGAATGACAGTGGAGTTGGAAGGAACGACGATGAATGTTGTGGTAAAGGGAACGCATGACGAATCGCAAAAACCGCGTCGGGGGGACACGTCGGGGTTGGCGGAGGCGCGGTCTGCGGTGACGAGGGTGTTGGCACAGGTACATTTTGGCTGGCCCGCGCGCGGGCGGGTGGTGACGAGCCGGCAGCGGGTGCCGCGCGAGCGGTCGGGGCGCCGCTGACGTCACGGGATGCACTCCGCCGCGGGTCGCTCGCGCGCCTTCCAGAACGCGCCGGAAGGCTGCCGGCGGGCGGGCGCGGCGCGGCGGGGTGGGGGCGGCGGGAGGGGGCGAGTGTATTTAAGGCCGGACGTGCTCCCCGGCGGCACAGTTGCCTGCAAGGACACGAGCGAGCGGCGCCTAGCTGAACAACCCCTCGAGCGGATCCACACTCTTCGCCAAGGTGAGTATGGAGTGCGCCGGTGCGAGGCTTCGCCAGGGAACAGTTTCAATGAGACTTCGTTAACATTTTCGGGTTTGCTCGATTCTTATGCGCATGCCGGGTGACTTTCAAAACCTTCGGAAGGTACATAAATTTAATTTTAATTTTAAATTCAAGCAATATCGTGTTTACTCTTGCGCATCTGTGGATTTTATTCTTAAGCTTACTAATCTTTAATTTTCGATATTATTTTACAATCTCGTAAACGCAAAATAGAATAAAGTTGATCATTTTTCCATCGTTGTCTAATGCTGGCAGGAATATTCATATTATCATGGTATCTAGTGAAAATTCCAATCGGCGAAAAATTCCAATGCGAAAAAATCTGTGAAACACCATGTTTTTTAACATCAATTTTCATGATGTAAGTGCTCTATAGGATATTAGTAATGGTCACAAACAGTCTCATAAAAATATTAAGTTAGCCGAATTCATAACGTAAAATAAGTAACGTGGCCACTGCAGTAGAATCGAAATACAGGGTCGCTTTAAGAGATCGAATTCCATGGTGACACTCATCCTATTCCAGAACTTTCCACGGAGAACATTCGGAAAAGTCTCATTCACAGGAAACTGTTACAACGCCTAAATTTAGAAACGGTATCTGCGCGAGCGAGCTTTCTGGAATCCGGGAGAGATTTCGGGGTGGAGGAGGGTCAGGTTTCACGAATAGCCTCCCTCTCGCTACCCTGGTGTGGTGGCAATAGCGCGGGGCCCCACGCGATAGGGCACAGCTGCACCCTCGTCTCTGCTCCTGGGTCGCGCCTTTGTCTGGCTTTGTGGGCCTTCGTATTATCTACAACGACCCCCTAGGGGGCGGGGTGGGGAAGGCGTCCGCTACAGGAGGTACAAGCATAGAGAAAATTCCATTTATCTTTCCTCTACGATACTCGCTTAGGAAACGACGGGAAAAACAAACCTCGGCGTTATGCTAATGTTAGCAGTTGGAATTTAATGAATTTCTCTTAACTTGGGGGAATGGTCCCAGTGCTTTTATTTTATTTATATTATTTTATATTTTTATTAATTTATATAAAAAGTTTATAAAAGTTAATTTATATAAAAAATAGTTTTATATAAAACAAAAAAAACGTACATTTTATTTCTATGTTTTGCACTTTTTTTCTTCCGATTGTTCTACTTTTTTTGTGTGAAGGGGAGAAACTCTCTTGACAATCGAAGCCCTGGTACGACCTAGCTGCTCCCTCTCTCCCTCGTTTCCCCACCCTTGTGAGTGCACCGCCCCGCTCTAGCATGGAGCCCTGCCTCCGTGCGCGGGTGCTATTTCGGGATACTCTGGAACTGTTATGACTACTGGGGGGCGGTGATGCAGCGTTCAACAATGCGAAGATCTACAGTTTTGCTTTGACCTTGTCCTTTCGGTTCCTCCTCGATGACAAAATCAAATCTCTTATTCTGGCTTTTCTTTTTTTAAGTGCCTCCATTTTGCGATTTCATTTAATTGCGCACATGTTAGTCTTCTTTTGCCAGCAGTTGATTCTTCTATTAATTGAAAAGTATATAAAACTATTACTTGCAATATTAGTTAATATATTTGTATTATATGTCAAATATTACTTTCACTTCAGTAAATTTTGGAGGTTTCACTTTACTTTGAAAGTAAACTCCATCATTTCTGGTTGAAGCTGACTTAAATAAATGATTGGAATGAAAATGGCCTAATACATTTTTAGGAACCAAACAAATGAACCAATGAACTGTTCTGTTAAATTACTAAAATGTACTTTCACAGCTAGATCCACTCAGTGCAAATCTTTTGAAGTGGTACCCACTGCTTATATTTTTTTAAAATCTAGAGATATTATTGGTGGAACATTGAGTAGCCTATCACCTTTGTCTGATGAAAACTTTTATTTATACTTTATTTACAAAATTCAAAACAACTAATTTATTTTTCATGTTTTCAATTGAGTGAATTATGTTGTAGAAATCTAGTTACAGTTTGTTTTCTGTGGTACGTGCAGATGTCTCTGGTGCCTCTGATGTTCCGTGACTGGTGGGATGACTTGGAGCGGCCCAGCCGCCTTCTTGACCAACACTTTGGTCTTGGTCTCCGTCATCAGGATCTGCTGAACTATTGGCCCACCCTGCGCAGTACTGGCTACATGCGACCATGGCGTTCACTGGCCCGTCAGGACTCTGGCTCCTCCAATGTGGTAGTTGACAAGGACAAGTTTCAGGTGAGCCTCTTTTCTGTGCATTATTTAAAATTGTACATTAATTTGATGTCATTATGTGTAACATAATGTAATTTGATATAAAAGATATAAAATCATCTTTCCATTCATGATCTGCATGATGTGGTTCATAAATTGTTGTCCAAAATATTGTTTCAATTATTTTCTATCCTATTTTGCTTTAGATCTTTGCATTTTGACATGAACAAAATTTTACAGGTGATCTTGGATGTGCAGCAGTTTGCTCCAAGTGAAATATCTGTCAAAATTGTTGATGACAAGACTATTGTTGTCGAAGGAAAGCATGAGGAGAAACAAGATGAACATGGCTACATTTCCCGACATTTTGTACGACGTTACCTTCTCCCTCCTTCTGTCAATGCTGCTGATGTCATTTCCAATCTCTCTTCAGATGGCGTGCTCACCATCACAGCACCCAAACATGTAAGTAATTTTTAACAATTTTAAAATAAATGAAAGATTCAGAATTAAGAATGTAAATGTAAGATCAGAGAAATTATTCTTTGTTTGTAAATGTCAATCACAATTTAATTGAAAATACCAGGCAAATAACATTCCAGTTACATGGCAGGAAACACAACTTCTTACATTCAGAATTGGACAGACACTCTTCTTACTTGGATTTGGTTTTGGTACTCTTCTTTTGACTTTTTCTATTTCGAGTAAGTTTTATTTAATTACTGTGCAGGAGGCCTTGCCAGCTGGAGAGCGAGTGGTGCCAATTCAACAGACTGGTGCTCCTGCTGTAAGACCAGCAGCAGACCCAACAATTCCTGCTACTGCTGTGCAAAGCACCAATACTGAACAATCCAAATGAAGAGATGGTTCTTTACTTCTCTACTTATAGAATCACATTAAGACTGATATCTTCTTTTAAACATTGATGCCATTGAAAATTGTATGACTTTTTGTACTTTACTGTTTAACTCAATGTCTTTACGCTGTAAATTCCTTTCATTATGAAATACATTTTTCTTCTACATAATTTATTGAACTTGGTTTAATTTTTTGATTTCTTTCATATGCACATTTCAGGGATCTATGCATGAAATGTCAGAAAAAATTTGCAACATTAGTTACAGCAGTAATTTGAATAATGGAATATCCTGGGCACATTAAAGTTTTCTTGTCCTGATATAACATACATGAGAACACATCAAACTCTTACAACAAGAAAAAATTAATTAGTTTTTGGTATTTTTTTCCATGTCAGGAAGTTATTAAGAAAAGAGAAAATGTATAATCTCTAATACAGTGGCAGTTGATTCCTTCTAAAAAATAATGCTTTGAAGGACACTGTTTATTATGTTTTATCCATTACAGCTATGTTAATCATGGTATAATTTGTTGGTCATGACCACATGAAGAACTTAAATGAAATCTACTGTATTTGGTTCCAATTTTAGATAATCATGAAGAAAGAAAGAATTTTCTTCTTCATCTGATATTGGGACCAAATATACTGAAATAGTGAAACAACAATCAATAACAAAAAACAAACTGCAATAAAACCTCTCTATAATGGACGTGGCCAAGACCTGGACATGCCTGAAATCAAAAAAAATGTTTGCTTAAGAGAAGTGTCTGTTAAAGATTGGTTGGAACAAAGCATCATTTTCATCCTGAATCTAGAAAATTGTCTGCCAAGAAGAGGTGATTTATAAGGGAAGGAAGATGTCATTCAGATAGGTGTCCCTGTATTTTTTCTCAAGTCCAAAAAATTCTAAATCACTGCTGGTATTTGATATAACTGCTCATACAATTGACGTATATAATAATAAGTCAATTTAATTACATTTTCTTTACAATAAAGACACTGATACATTGAAAGATGAATTCCATTTTAGGATACATACAATGACAAGATATTTCATAAAAATGTTTCTCACATTTTTAACATGATAATAATAATAAAAATAGTAAAGTAAAGTTTTGCACTCAAAATGAAGAAAATGTATTTCATTTAGCCCTACTTGGAAAATATGCCTCCTCGACTCTTATTATCCCCTCAAGACCTATACTTGTTTTGGGTCAATAACATCTTATTATACTGTTTCCTACTATAAATGATTATTAACATTTTGAGTTTACTTTACAATAATTATATCAATTTCATGCTTGTAGAGCTATATTTATTAGCATGTGTCATCCCTTGAAAGAACTTACCTAGAGGTACACACCAATTCTTAATATAATTACTTAATTGTTTTCATAAGATTATTATCTCTAATTATTAAAAGAATTACTGTGATTTCTATTTCAAAAATTATCAGATGATGATAATTACAAAAAGCAGAAGAATATGATAAATAACTGATGGGAAATAGAATTTTTATTACAAAAAATAAGGATATTTTGACTTGAGAATAATTTGAGCAATGAATTTATTATTTCATTTAGTGAGTTCATTATTAATGACAATGTATTTTATTACCATAGTTTGTCTTTACACATAATTGTTTCCATAAAATATTGATGTGTTTGAATCTTTAAGTCATAAAATATCAATGGTCAGATTTCAAAATAGAAGTCTGTTATGAATAATTTTTTAAGAGCAAATAAATATTAAATTGTTAAGTTCCTTCTTATTCTCTTGAGCCTAAAATTGAGCTTAAAATTTATTGTTTGTTCCCTACTTAGTGAGACTAGCCCTGTAAGTTTTAAATACAAGATAGGCAATTACTTAATGACTCTGATCCTGTCTAAATGCACTTTTTCACAGGAATGAGACTTAAACAGGTTTTAACATTGATATCCCAAGGAATTTTATTTAAGTTTCTTTTCTTGTATTGTTATATTCTTACCATTAAAACTGGCTACAAAGTAAACACTGAGAAATTAAATGTTGTTTGTGCAAGTAGTTCTAATGATTCCAAAGGATATGGGTAACATTTTATTATAAGAATGTATTCTAAATATGTTTGTTGGTTCCTTTTCAAAGAATATAACAAATTCCTTGCTGGCGGTATAATAACTATATATTAGTTTTTGTTAGTTCATATTTGTGTGTATTTAAAATATATCTTTATGAAATATATTAATTTTTCCTTTGCATTCAATGTTTGTACTTATTATTAATATAATATACCAAAAATTGTTTTCCTCCGAATATGGAGGAACAAAATTCTGTAAGAGAATAATTGAAGAATTTTACACTCGATCGATACTGATGCCCCCAAAGATGATAAGTGTCTGAAGACTGAAGTTTTAATCAGAAAACGGTAGAATTTGTAATACTTGACCAAGGTTTTTTCATCAAGGATAATAAACTAAAAGTACAACATAACAGACTACTCATATTAATGATAAAATATTATTTAACAAAAATTAAACATTAATTAAATGTGATTCAAGAAACAAAAGTGCACGAACTTCAGTTTCTAGTGATTTTCATTGGAAACTCCAATTTTATACGCAGATGATAAGAATTATATGCAGATTATAAAAGCATGCAATTTGCAGTACATTGCAGGACTAGTAATCTGCTAGTAATTCTACGATATTCCAATAGAGGTCAGTAGCATTGCTGAACGAAGCTTCCCTCTGTGCCTTCAACATTGTCGCGAAATGCCACCTATCGGCCAGTGCTAGAACTATTATATGAAGAGCAGTGAGCAGCTGAGGATTGCATAAGTGCGTGTTATTTTATTTTCTCACTTTTTATGAAATAGGGGTAATACCGTCTCCGCAATGTCTATTGTGTGCAGTTGACAATTATACAATAAAATGTTTTTGAATCACTTTTATATTTATTTTCAAACTGGTGATAGTGACAGAAAAATGTGTTATCTATATCACAGTGATGTGTTAGGTGTGCAGGAAGTTTTATAGATTTATTTAATTAAGAAAATGTTTAGAAAACATTCGGGGAACTTTCTTACTAAGTATGTGATTCGCACTTCCTATGTGGTATTATAAACAAACCTTCTTTGTTCAAAATCTTCAATTCAACTTCCTGCAACGTTCGGTGAGTTTGTCACATGATTTTTTTTTAAAATAATTGCCTGTTTAGATGGTTTTATGTTAAGCAATTTTATGTTCACTTTGTTTTTGTTACTAGTGTGTACCGCTTATCAAGAGCTTATATATAATGGGGCAATTTTGCTTAAATAACAAATTTGCTTTAGTGTCCTAACCTAAAAATGTTGCTTTGAAAAGAGTATCATGATGGTCTTGATCAATTGAAGAATCGTATTTAAATAGATGTTATTTGTACAATTGTGGTGATATAATTAGTACAGTTTTTATGTTAACCAAAGTGTGGTATTTATTACAAGTCTCTTATTTGGATCGTATGCGTTTGCTAGAGCATCAGAAATTAATTATTTAATTCTGGGAGCTACTTGTGATAACGCGAGATGCAGCATTTATTGGAAGATTATTATTGGAAGTAAATTATGTATGTTCTTAAATATGTCAGATGTACTTATATTGTTCTATAATTTACTAGACGAATCCATCGATAACCAGCCAGATGTCATGCTGACTGCTCGTTTGTATAGGTCAGGGGCAGGTTTGTGGGGTGTGGTGATCGGGGGTGGGAGGGTCAAAAAACGGTTTAAACTGTATGTGACGTCTGGGGGAGAAGGTCATCTGCGCACGTTTTCTTGAGTTCCAGAACCCCTTCCCATCATTTTAACTATAAATAGTTGAAGGAGGAGTAAAAGTTAAAGATAAATAAAAATAAAATTCAAATTAAAAAAAGCACGAGATTAGCTACTTTTGAAAAACTAGACATTTTCATTCCTGAGTTATACAAAACTTATTTGCAACGGGAAACGAACTGTAGGTTTGATTTTTCTGCATTGCTAACAAAATAGTAACTCATTGCTAACAAAATGTGCGCATAGTGCAGCTACATGTAGCTTCAAATTAACTTCTTCTCCCCATAGCACGAAACACACACAATTTTAACTGTTTTTGACGTAAATAAATAAATAAATAAATAAATAAATAAATAAATAAATAAATAAATTTACGTCCTGAGACAAAACAAGGGGCCATCTCATCATTTGCGTTAAATTTGCGCATCTTCTGTGTGTAGGAGTTTGGCCTTGTACCTACCATTTATGCAAATTGTCATGTATGTGTTTTGAACACATCGAGTTAAAAGCTCAGTTTTAATTTTTCTTATCAGTCTATAATTATATGATAATATTCTATCAATACATTTAAAATTATTCTTTGGGGAGAATTTTGTGGTAAAAGAATCTGGAGTAAACAATGTTGAATAATCCATAATTTGATGTTGCATTATGAAATCAATCATTATATTTTCTAATAAACGTAAAAGAGAAAAAGTACGAAAATTAATATTTTCGTACTGGGTGCATATTCTAAGATAAAAGGTTGAAATTTTGGAAAACTACAGAGAATTGACAGGGCTACAATTTGTATTGAACCCTTATGATCTGTGACGGAACACGAGATATTCTTCAAAAACGAGGAAATAAAGTATTTTTTCTTGTATATTTCCTTTATTTGATGATCGTAAGCGTCAAAATCGGGCAAGAAGGCCTGAAAAAAATTCTCAAAACATCATTTATAGAAAATAGCAAGGATAATTAAAGTCAATATTCGTGATCGTAAAATGGTTTAAAACATTTAAACTTATGTAAGAAGCTAATAAGCACGTTCATTTTATATGCACTGGGAACAGAGCCTGTATTTATTTCAATCCAGAAGAAAACGTGTTTTTTTAACATTTCTATTACAATTTTCAACATAAAAAAATTTATTCCCGGGGGCAGTTCTACCTATCTTAATCTGCTACCCCCTTTGGTAAAATACGAGTATACCCCAATGTTAGAAACTTCATATCACTACACTACATGTGATTACCATTATCAGTAATGAAATGTTAGACTAGATTAATAAAACATAGCATTGTAAGCTTTCACGACCGGAGTTAATATAAGAGAAAATTTTCGGGTCGGTAGGCCGTGGTCTAGTTGGAATTGAAGGGTCAAACGTTTCGTCAACGACTGCTCTCATTTTTTGTGATAAATAGCAAAAATACACGTATTTCACGTTTTACGCAATTCTGCAAACATTTTAATAGATGACTTTCTCGCGAGTATGGTTTTGTTCTATGT